TGGAACACTAGAAAAAAAAAATCAGTAAGTGGGAAAAAGGCACTCCCAGGCAACCGACAGATTGAAACTCTACACAGTAAGTAATAACCCCAAAGAAGACTTGACTAGAAGAAGAATTTGATGAAGCATTTACTCGAGGAATTGCACCGGGCATTCATTAATTAATTAACTCCTAGATTTTGATCAATCAATCAATCAATCAACCAGTCGACCACTAATCAAGCATTCAATCAATCAATCAAATAGAATGAGCAGTGTAAGAACAACAACAAAAAACAAAGCTCGGCATCGTCGACTGCACAGCGGCCTTGATCAGCTCAGTTTTTTTATACAGACCCAGTTTCAATGGATGGGCACCACCTCAACAGATCTCAACGGATGAACTAGAAGGTGTTCGAGTTCCAGTGTTCGAGTTCTAGTGTTCGAGTTCTAGTGTTCGAGTTCTAGAACTCGTTTAAATTCCCGCAATGTGTGTGGCTACAGATGCTGCTGGAATCGACCGACTTACCTGCTTGTTATAAATATTGAAGTAGATGTTGAAAAGGTACCAAAGACCGAACAAAGCCCCGAGCATTAACGTGCTGGCGATCTTCTTCTCTGGAGTGGCAGCCGCATTCGCGTCGTCGGCTTCGGGCAGCGCTTCCGTTGCGCCTGTTCCAGAATCGGCGGCGGCGTCCGCAGCTGCAGCTGCGCTCGCAACCGGTGTTACTCCCACCCGCGAAATTCTCCCCTCCCCCCCCTTGCGCGGAACAGTCCGCCCCGCCTTCTTCTTTCCCTTTACGTCGTCAGATTGCGACTCGCGGAATGACCGTCCAAGGAACACGGACTGCCCCAGCCGCGGGGTGGTGGCGAGCGCACACCTGGTCGGAAGAGCGGGAGACAGCGACAAGGGCCCCGACACGTCGAGCGCAGCTTGCGCCGGCGAGTTGGACAACGAGAAGATGCTGGAGTAGAGATCGCGATCCGCGGAACAGCCGCGCCGCAGCCGCAGCCGCGACCGCGAGCTCGCCAGACACTCAGACCCTCCCACTCCCACGTGCGGCTGGCCGATCGCCGCCATCCTCGCGATACCGGCCATGTTGTTGCGCACTCTCCTTCCGTTCCCGCTCCCGCTCAAAGATGGAAGAAAGGACACGTGTACACTCACTCGACCCCGAAGCCGAAGAGTTATGACTACGACTTCCTGGCGATGGTCGTCGACAGATTACTAATCAAGAACAGATCGCTTCACCACACTTTTCGACGATGACCTGGAAGATTGATCCCACGCTAAGACTGTTCTGAATCTTCGGATGGGTCGCGTCCTTCGGCAGATCCGTTGATTTTTGGAACGACACAGAAGAGACAGGCAACTAATTAGCATGGCCCTGCGTATTTGATGATGGCGCGCATAAATCGAGGAATGGAATGGTGGTAGTAGGAGGATAAGGGCCTCGCTGCACTACTCTCGAAATGTGCAAAACGAGAGTGAATCTTCTGCTAGAACATGGAAAGATACACGGCCATGATTTTTGTCTTTTGTGCATTTCAAGAGTAGTGCAGCGAGGCCCTAGTCGTGTGGTCTGCGGGACGGAAGTCCACACCTCTTCCACCCCCCGCTTCAGCTGGATGGATGCCCGTTCGGACTCCCTACCGGCGGCAAGTTCAGCCTCCTGTAGCGGCGGTTCGTTGAGCGCCGCTTCGCTTCGCAACCTCCCCCGCCCGGCCTTGCAGCTTCGGCTTAGCTCTATCAGAGGGCTGGGCGGAGGGGCGGAGGGGCGAAGGGGCGGAGGGCGGGGCGGAGAGCGCAGCGCTTGGTGGTTTCTGTCTGGCGCCGGGTTGCTACTGTTCGCAGCCAGGACTGGCTGCGTATACATGGATGCGTTTTGTCGTTTAGCCAGCGCTTTCCGGATGGGAAATGTCGCTCACTGCTTATAGGGGTATACAGGGCGTCGTTGCGTGCAAAAGAGGGTTGCCGGCGGTCACAAGGCAACGACCGGTCTTTCGTGCGGGTGGTGTGGTTACGGTCGCTGGAGAGTGCTTTGTGGTCGTTGAGTGATGTGCGGGCAGCGTGAGGTCTTTGCATAGTTTCTATTTCAGGAATAGTTTCTAGTTCAGGAAAGTCTCGCGCGGTGCTAGCAGGTAATGGGGCTGTTTTTGGACGGAATAGCAGGCAGATGCATCCATGGAGAAAAATTGCACGAAAAGTTTTATCGGAGCGTTCGTTCTCGATTGAGATCGACGGTACAATATTAGTTTGTTCAGACTACGATTTTTTCAGGGTTTTTTTTTCCCCAACCGTCTGCACTTGTCGACAAGCAGGTAATGGGGCTGTTTTCGGACGGAATAGCAGGCAGATGCATCCATGGAGAAAAATTGCATGAGAAGTTTTATGGGAGCGTTCGTTCTCGATTGAGATCGAGTTTGGTCAGACTACAATTTTTTCAGGTATTTTTTTTCCCCAACCGTCTGCACTTGTCGACAAACACGGCCGGGTTCGTGCGCCTGGCAGTCCCGTGCTGCCAGCTTTTCAGTGACTGTTTGGTTGGTGTACACATCCGGCCTCGCTGCACTATCGAAATGTGCAAAACGAAAGTGAATCTTGCCCTAGAATATGGAAAGATGCACGGCCATGATTTTTGTCTTTCTTTTTCTTTCTTTTGTGCATGCCGAGAGTAGTGCAGCGAGCACCCATCGTCGGCTCGAATCAGGCACACCCCTGCAGACACTCCTTTTTTTTTTCTTTTTTTTTTCTGAAATGCTTGTTTGTTTGTTTTTTTCTTTTTTTTGAAATTGTTTGTTTGGTTTCGAGCACAGGGCAACGGGGCCGGGGTCCTCACAATTCAACAGGAAACTTCTGGCAGCATTAGCCAGCTTCGCTTTTTAGGGCACCAATAGGAACCGAAAGACATCAAATTGCTGAAAACATAAGAGCCTAGCGGTGGGTCTAAACTTAGAAGGAAAGGGGAGTTAGGGACACAGTACGATGACAGTCGAAGCTCTCTAAATGCAGGGTTGAGGGTTGTGGGTAGAGACTGGGCTGGGTATAACTGGGCATGGTTGGGGAAGAATGGAGGAGGGATAGGGAGATAGGAGGTAGGGGGGGGGGACGGGAGAGGGGAAGCTTGGGTAGCAGAAGATGGAGGGGGAAGAGGGGTAAGTACAGGGAGGTGGGATAGACTGGGCGACAGAGAGCAGGGTAGGTGAGACGGGTGCGAACTGAGTATTGGGTGAACAGGGGAGCGTGTAAGGGGCAAGATGTGGACCGGGCCTAACAGCAAACGGCCAGAACCAGCCTAAGATGCGGCTGGTCGGAGCCAGAACCCTGGCTCCACCCTGCGGACACTCCCCTTCGAAGAGGAGATGCAGACTCGCCTGCAAACCACTTGGAGCGTACTCACACACCACCTACCCTCTATCTTAAATGCATCTGACCGCAATGACGGCCAAAGCGTGGTGTATATGAACGCATAGTGGACACTCCTTTTTTCTTCTTTTTTTTTCTGAAATGCTTGTTTGTTTTCAAAGAAGACAGAGACACCCCTGCGGACACTCCCCTTCGAAGAAGAGATGCAGACTCTCCTGCAAACCACTTGGAGCGTACTCACACACCACCTACCCTCTATCTTAAATGCATCTGACCGCAATGACGGCCAAAGCGTGCTGTATATGAACGCAATTGCAGCCATAAATAAGTAGTAAAAAGTTCTAGTGTGAGGGCATCGCCACACCACTCTCGAAATTTGCAAAATGGAAATGAACTTCCCGCTAGAAGATGGCCAGATGCCCCCGCCACATTTTTGTCTTTTTCACATTTCGAGAGTGGTGTGGCAAGGCCCTGAGTGTGCTCTTAGAGGTTAGATTTGCGTTATCCTCACAAATAGACAAAAAACGGTCACTGATGGTGGTAGGTCTGGGGTAAGGGAGCCAATACCACAAGGACCAATTGATCGTCAGCAGTCAAGGTCATCATGCATGCAACCCTAGGGCACGCTCAGAACTAGGTAGGAGCTTTTCTACTAAGCTCTGGACCTAATTACGGAAAGATTTGTCCACATCTAATGCAAATGTGGAAAAAGTGAATGTATCTTGCAGGAGAAGTGGCAAAATACATTTTCCATTTTTTTTTGTTTTTTATTTTTATTTTTTAAAGCTTTTTCTTCTTTTTTTTTCTAT